CCTATGCAAACCTACGCCTATGGTTGCTACAAAGGTCTTTGATTGTGCATTTAGACAAAAAAAAAGTATGATGAGCTTCTTCTTTGATAGAATGGGAAATTAGTGGTGATCCAATTTTTTCCAACAAGTTTGAAACTCATCCACATTTTTGAGACAGGTTTCACACACAGTGCTGAGCAAAAAGTTGGGATACTATCACTGAAGTAATGAACTATGAAAGACATGGGGTTGGGATTCACCAGTGTTTATAACCTGTGGTGTCAGACCTTGCTACAGTAGGATTATTTGCTGTTCGGTCCAACACTGTGGAAACCCTCTGTACTGCTCCATGTTCCTGGTGCCATGCGCTGTTCTCCTAGCATCTCCCTTTAAGTTTAGTCTTTGATTGATCATTATTATAGAAACCTCATCATGGCTCCATCCGAGAACCATAATTGCATTTTGGTCCTAAAAACTCTACTTGAAATAACAAAAACACAAAATAAAATCCGTCATTGTCTGGGGAAATGAACGCATTTGCCCTGCGTTCATAGCTATGAATAAACCACACATAATCTGATTGTGATGTGCATCATATGAGCTGTTTAAGTGTTGATCCTTTGATTAGCTGTGTGTGCTTTCAACATTATCACCATGATCTGGGCTTTCTTTTCAGTGGCTGAGTCACACAGGAGGAGAAATAGTCAAAAGGCAGATCCAATGCAGTTAATTTAGTACATATAATCAGACAAGTATAACACGTTGGAACTGTTAGCAGCCTCAATCCTGGTCTCAGTCTATTAGAGCTTGAAAAAAAGAAGCACAGTCTGTAGATCCTCAGGGTAGATACTGGAGACTTAATACAGTGCCTGTGTGTGCATATGCAGATCTTTTAAGGCAGGTCTGATGGTAGCAGGTGGAAACCCCAGGAATCTGTAATAGGACAGTCCTGATGAATCTGTCGCCTGACAGCCTGCAGTGTTTTCCTCGCTAAGAAGCCAAAAACAGTGGGAAGTCAATGAGTTTTAAATCACATATGCAACCTTTATACACCCTGCACCCTTGCAATCTTTCATAATGTAGTATCATAATATAGTAATTAAAAGTGGTTTGCTGGATGTTACTCAGAAGGCTAATTCATCATTCTTTCAACTTTTACAAAATTGCTTTTGTTTTTCTACTTAATCATGTAGTCATTTATTCTGTATTAAACACAGCCAATCAAAGTAATGTGTTGTAAAAATGGTTTCAACATTGACTGTAACACCAGAATTGAAGACATTAAAATATCTATGACCCTTCTAATATTTCTGAGAACTTCAAGGTATTTGTGTTCCTCAAGCATATTCAAACTCACACGGAAAGAAATAGACAATTAGAAGAATATTATTGATACAGTTATTTTAAGACTTTGGCGCTCAATCCTCAGCAGGAAACGTTAGCGCTGAATTTTACTTTAATATGCATAAGCATACACCCTGTTCTCAGGTGTATAAGAACAGGGATCCAGTGGACTGTGTGAGCTGATACTAGTGCTTCACTTGGGACACAGAAGATGGCTGTCCAGCTTGGATAAACACAGGTTTGCATGAACCTGTCCATGATGAGCAAGCATGAAGGGACTGTGGAGAGGAAAAACTCCCCTTTGGGAAGAAACTTCTGGCAGAACCAGGCTCAACATAGCAGTCTTGTGTCGGACCAGTTGAGATGTGAAAGGGAATTAAGTAAGAGTCCAGGCGGAATTACATTGATAGGGACGAGGTTGAAGGAGCACCATGGAAAAGCCAGATGGAGCTTAGCTACGATTGTAGAGAAGGGCATGGAGGTGGGTTAAATCAGGGAAATCTGAGTCAAAATAAGACATAGCACAACCACTGCTTGTGCTTGGCTGGATCGTGGATTTGAAGACCTTTTAAGATTAACCCTGATTGCTGATTGGCCATTTAGAGCTGATTGGCTTGCGTCAGAAGCAGGTTAGTCTCTGATGATGAGGGCAATTTAGTTTCTTCAGTGGAACTTCCACCTATGCTTCATTTAAAACTTCAGAGGCTTGTAAAACTACTGAATGATATTTTAAAAATTTCTACAACTTTCAATGAAAGTTGAAAATTGTGGCTGGCAGGACTGTTCTACTTTCAGTTTAATACACCTAAATAAATTTAAATCCATCAATATGCCTTTAAAAGTCATCTAATCAGTGAATACATTTATTTATTAATTTAATCTCAGTAAAAATACAGTTGAAGACCATCGATAAAAAAACAACATCACAAAGGTCGAGAACCACAGTTTGAAACAGGGTAGAATTATAAAACAATATCAAACAGCTGAAAGGATCTCACAGTATTCATCTCATTATCTGACTATAGAAATAATAATATGCAATTTCAAACCTATCATGGCATGTCTGTTTGAAAGCAGGACAGAAGGACACAGTACTCAGGTGAGACAGAAAGTGGGATGATTCAAAGGCATAAAAAAAAAACAAGATTGGAGATGCGGATCTGCAGAGGCTGCGTTTTTTCCAAGGCACCGGCCATCACTGGAAACTCTGGTTAGAGAAAAACACAGGCAAGTGACAATGATAATCTGATGAAGGAGGATTATCCATGTAAGTCACATACCTGGTTTGACAGTTCAGTCCACCTCCATAGAACACTGTAGGATCCAGCCGGAGGGCTGCCAATTAGATGCAGCAGGCACCACCCAGAGTGAACTAGATGCTGCAGTCCCAGAGGGCCAGCGTGAGTCCAAGCCAGGTTAGAGAAACAGATCAGAACAGGAAGGCTCAGCGATCCAGGAGTCTGTAGCCTGGTCAGGGGTTCCCATCAGAACAGGAACAGGCTGGTTCAGGGTTCCAGGAGTCCAACAAAGAGTTCAGGCAGAATGTTCACATGGGAACAGGCAAGCCCGGTGGTTGAGAGGCAGAAAAGGGCAGGGTATCAGGAACTATGTTATGCTAAAAACTAGCTCTCTCCACTGAGCCAAGACAGGAACAGGGCATGCTCAATGGATAAGAGACAGGACATGATCAGGAAAACAGAAACACTACAAAACACTAAAAACTCTCTCGGACCACTAGCTCCTGTGAACGAAAACATAAAATATGGCATCAGCAATGATCTCAAACTCAAACTCAGTGATCTGGCCATGCTAGCTGACTGAGCCATATATAAAGAAGCAGAAGCAGGTGGATGAGATGAGTATTGGAACCCGGACAGAGTTAGGCAGGTGAATGAAAGGAGCAATTAGGCCAATCCTCAGAGCCATGATCATGACAATGTACCGGTATGTATGCCTTTACTAAGAAGCAAGAACTAGCCTGGGGAGAAAAGAAACAAGAAGACCAGTTGCCACCTGTTTGGGAGCGGCAAATAGCCAAATGTATGGAAGAAAGTTAAAACTGGACATTACTGTAATCCCAAAATACCCTTAATAAAAAATTTATACAACAGTATAATTCTGCAGGATTTCTATTTCTACTGCAGTGAGGAATGCAAGTCAGAGCAGATAAGACAGTGGATGTACTAAATAAATTTCAGTCCTACAAAAAGAGTTGACTGACTCATTAAATAATTTATTGATCTGTCATTTTTTTACGACATACTCAAAAGACTTTCAGCTATAATTTCTGCAAAAGATGGTTCTACTCGTTATTGATTACCTAGAGGACTCAATACAAATATGTCACATTTAACAGTTTTTTCACAGTGAAGCGTGGAAAATTTGGATTATCCTTCCTTTGTACAACTATGCATTACTCTCTGTGGTCAAATACATAAAGTTATTAAATACATTTAAGTGAATGAATTGTTTTATATTACATTTTATTAATCCTGGAAAACTAAGGAAATAAACACCATATAAATATCTTGATTATTTCACACGAAGCAAATTCAGCATCTATTGATAAACTGGATATTTCTGAATTGTCTTTTAATCTGGACTCTAGATTTGGATTTGTTTTTTCAAATACGCAGTCATGTAACAGATCATTTAATTCCATTGGATCCACTGTACTGCAGAACATTAAAATAAAACTATTTAGAAGCATAGATTAAAACAGAGCACTTCTGCTTTGTCAAATGCGGCTGCTCTTGTATGCATTGCTTTACAATAATAGGCTTAAAAGAAAAGCCGCAACGTTTCTTTGAGTTTCTTGTCGTTCAGACATGTCCTTCTGTGGAAATGAGTAAGCGACAACCTTTGTTTTCCCACTCATCATGACCAAGTGGAATTCAAATTTAGCCAACATACTAAAGATTTATTTACATTACTGTTTTGTTCTTTGTTTTTTCCTACAGGAAGGAAACCGATTATTATTATCAGTTCGTTCATGATTGAACAAAGAGATCTTTAAACTGAGAAATAGAATAATATTTTTATTTCTCCACAAGACAAAAACAACTTCTCTACCTTCGGCAGAAACTTTTACACACTCAAAGAGGGTGACATATTAACGCTGTTATAAAATCTTGTATTAGTTCCTCAAATTTCAAACTTCAGAGGAAAACAGGCTTACAGAGATTCATCTTTTTGTGTGAATAAATGTCAAATGAGAGGAGGCTATTAACTGTCATGTCTGTATGTGGATGTTCATTTAGTTTCATAGCGGATATATGAACAACTAGCCCAAATTCATGCATGTTAAAACTAAAAAGTTTAAGACAACAACACACTGGCTATACACTGTTTATACAGGTATTTCCTCTGGATTTCAAGTGTTTCTGAAGTCCTAATCTCACCAGATATTTGTCTCTCTCTAGGTGCATCAGAAGTAGGTAAAGCCTTTAAGCAGGAGTGGTGATTATTTAGGATCTTCATTTGAATTTAAAGTTGTCAATGATTACAACCTGTCTGCACAGCTTAAGGATTAGAGTATTTTTTATTTAAATCCAAATGTGGAGAGGATTTAGAGAAATCTTTCGAATAGTGTAGTAGTGTGAGTAAATGTTTTTTGCTTTTATGTCATGGTTTGCTGCTATGCTTTGATAACCTTCAATATTCTTTCTCTGTTCCAGACTTTTCGATGGCCCATTGCCAGCAGACTTGATGAAAATGAAATGTTGGAGATCCAAGTCTATAATTATAGCAAAGTCTTCTCAAATAGGTGAGTAACAGGATCCTACTGTACATTTTTATTTAACCTCTATTGAGTGTTGCGCAGATTCCATTTTTTGGCCCCGATACCCGGCTGTGCAGTATTGGTCGATACCGATACCATATCGATACCATCATGGATACCATATCGATACCATCGATATGGTATCCATGATGTGTGTCTGTGTATATACGAAGAACTGGATACTACTTGGATGTAACATAATTGCCATTTTGGCTTTGTGAAGCTGCTGCCCACCTTTGTGAAGCAGGAAAAGACTGATACAAAGTCAAGCCAGTAAAACTTTTTATTGCATACCTGGAGTAGGTGACAATAGTTGAATAAACTTTTGGCTCTCAAAATGGTATCAGTGCCCTATTTGTTGGTACTCGCCGATACCGATACCACCATTTTAGTGCAGGATCGGGGCCCAGCAGGATACTGGTATCGGTATCAGTGTAACACTACCTCTATTAATTCAAGATTTAGCCTGATAAGATAATGCAGAGTGCTTCATTTTCATTTCTATCATGTGTCCCATATCAGTAACTTTGTTTTTTATAACTTTTAAACATACCGGTAAGTATGTTTTAACAATGTTTCTAATTCAGTATCTAATATGCTATTCTGATAGCTGGATGAAATATCCTTAACCCTGAACGATCCTTTATGTATTTATGGTGATTGAGTTATGTAAAACTTAGACTTATAAAAAAAAATAAAGGAGCAGAAACCACAGGACACATAATGAGCTGCATCAACTAGAGCAGGGTTTCTGAATCATTTGTAGTTTGGGCACCTTACTTATCCTTTAGACCAACTCAAACTACATCACATAGACCAAGCAGTCAGGTCATTTTTAACCCAGTATGACATCTTTGTTATTCAGAACATGCAAGTCTAATGGTCAGTTTTATTGGCCACTGTCAAGTTGCTAACTGATTAAAAGTATATCATGCTCTTTGTTTATCCACAAAGGCTTTTGTAACAGCAATCCCCACATTTACCCACTGCATTTGACCAACATATGAGTGTAAACACACACTGCAAACAAGCAGCTATTAAAGCCATCAGAGGCTGCGGTTAATACAGAAATAATTAAAGGTGCCTGGTACTCATGGACTCCAGGGGTGAAAATGATAAAAGCTAATCTAAACTATTATTAAAGTTTTGTAGAATTACATTAGAACAGAATTTATCATGCATTTAATCTATTACAAAATAAAGTTTTTGCTGTGAGTTTTCCTTCATGCTGAAATATAAACTGCATTACAGTGGGGGCAGATCAGTCTGTTTCCGTTTTTGGGAGAAATTAAATGATTTATTAGTCAATGAAGTAGGGTATTAAAAAAAAAAACAGACTGTGTGATTAAATCATTTACCCCACATGTACCTGTTTAAAAAGCCAGCATGGTGGTTGGATAATTAAGGTGAAGTCTAGAGATTTCTGCAATGTGTGTTTGGCTTGAATGCAAGAATAAGAATAAAGATTGATTAAAGAGGGGGATACACAAAGATAATTGGAGAAAATTAAGTATGAGTTTATCAAAGAGATCAAGCACAGATTTAACGCAAAACTGCAGAACTTTTAAACCAAGCAATAGCTTAGTTTAATTCAAATAATTTAAAGTATTAAAAACCCGCCTATGTAACTGGAGAGGGTATGAGCTTTAGAGCAGTCTGAGCTCACCTTAAACACAAAAGCTAAACCAAAATAGTTGCTGTTATGTAACAAAACATTGATTACACAATTCTTATCAGATATATGTCTCCATCTGGTCCAGGATGTATTTTGTCATATTGTGAAACTCAGAGGGAGACTGTTTAGTTTTGGGAGAGAGCAGCATTGCCAGTGGCTTTCAAGGTCACCAAACCTGGAAACTGGTCTAGTCCCCCTAGTGGCTAATAGCAATACAGTGCTGCTTTACCAAAAGTGAGAAACATTCAAATAAATAGGAGATCAGTAGCCTGACGTAGTCCGACTCAATTCTAGTCAGAATATGAGTCTGATACTGCTCCATAGAGCTGTGATTATGGGGCGTGTTTTGAACGAACCAGGAAAAAAAATGCCTCTGCACTCAGTTGGATAGACCTACAACCAATAAGAGCAACGGAGTGCGTGACGTATGTTAAGCGAGGCATAGTTGTTGTCCACAAAAATCAAAGCGTGCAGTTTCACGCCTAGAATAAGAAGATGAGACTTGATCGCGTTTCTCTGTTCCTCTTTTAAAATTAATTTACTGTCGATATCTTCTAGAACAGACCTAATAGCAGAATCTACTCACCCAAACTCTCCAGCGGCAGCCATTATTGTTGTCACCCAAGCGCGCTTTGGTCACGTGGTTGATAACGTTACTCTTGATCATCTGTCCATCATCGTATAAAGCCCGCCCTGACAATTTGATTGGATCGCCTGACAGTGGGCTTTAATACTCGCGCTACTATGGAGCAGAGCCAGACCGAACTTCCCCGAACTCAAACCTTGTGGGCGGGACTAAGTTCGGACTGGCACCCAGGCTAGGAGATCAGCCAAATTGACAAAAATTTGACCTGTGATCAGCTTCTCGTTTTCAAAAAAAAAAGTTTAGAGTTAACTGTGAATAACAAATAAAAGCCCCTATAAGCCCAGTCAATGTTCTGAAGCCACTTTAATGTTTCGTTGTTTAAAAATTTAAAACAGGAGCCAAATGCAGAGAGTGAGTTTGGCAAAGTTCTTTAATGATATAGCAGTTAGGATAACGTAAAGACCTCAAAACTCCAGTCCTCAAAGGACAGCTTCCCACGAAACTACAAAATAAAGGGAAAAATACTTTAACACTGATATAGAAGATAAACTAAAATAAATGGAGAACACAACAAAGAAATAAGTACGAAAAATAAACTTGAAGAAATAAACCCATATGGCAACTTCTTTTCATTGGTTTCTTTTCAATTTTGTGTTCTTTCTGGTTGTGTTTAAGTTCTTATGTATTTCTTGTTTACCCTCTGTTGTCCTTATGTGTCAGTCTCCTTCCCCTAGGTCCCTTCTAGATTATTCTGTCCACACCTGCTCCCAATCAGTTGATCACCCCATTGTCACACTTGTTCTGTTTAGCATATATACTCCTCGCTTTCTCGCTTTTTCTTCAGCTTTTGTATTCTGGTTTTTAATTGTCTATATTTCACTTTGGGATTTTTGCCTGAGTCGCCACCTTTTGGATCATTAACTCTTTTAGAAACCACCTCGGCTTCCGTCTCTGCATTTGGGTCCTCTAAAAACATCCAAACAACCTGACAATTTTCAACCTAAGCCTGATTAAAGCTTTTGAATTATCAGCTTTTCTTATGCTTTATCCACTATAAACTTATCTTAACAAATATGTAATTATTAAGATAAAATAAGAAACCAAAGGGAATGTAAAATTCATTCCTCTTGACACAATTACCAGAAATTGGTTGGCTCCTTCCGACATTTGACAGACACAGTTCCTGAAACCAATGGTTATAAAGCAAAATGCTTGTGTATTTATGTATAAAAGGAAAACATTTTGTTTTCATTTCCTCCATGACATGTTGGAGTTTAAAATGACAACAGCAACAGCAAAATATTCAATATTGAGGTTTTAGGAACAAACCACATTCTTTTTTTAGACAGAAGGTGCTGAAGCAGAACAAACCTAAAGTGTTATCAAATTTTTTTCACAAATTATACTTTTTTATACTTTTTTGTTTTTTGTTTTTACTTTGTAGCTATTGCTGTATTTGCTTTGACACCTAGATTCCTGGCTAACCAAAGAGTGTGTTAAATCAGCCAGCTGTTCAGTAGTTGTAGTATATAATAACTGGAAATGCACTCAGAGAGCGAAGACCTCTGCCAAGTAGCTCATTTTCCCTGGCATATTGTTATTTCCACCTTAACTTACTACCTGTATTCACAGAATCTTTTTAAAAGATTATCACCAAAATCTAATAATATATATGCTAGTCAGAATATACACCTTTTTATACACCTTTTTTGAAAATTCAGGCAAAATCCGTCCATAATTTTATATTGAAAGCAAACAGAAAAACCAACACAGCTGGAAACATAACCTCCTTGGTGGAAGTCATAAAAGTATATCATAGCAAAATAAAGCATTGTTGAATTGAAGTTTTAAGGTGGTAGCTCTGTGATTTAAAGGAGATTGTAGTTTATATTATTGCAACTTAGGTTTAAGGTAAGTAACCAATTCATTAGCAAATCATCTTAGGTGCTCAGAAGAACAGAATGAAATACTTGAACTAATATGGCAAACTTAGCTGTTACACAGTTGTTCTTGCTAACTGGAAGGTTTCCCATTCAGTGTTTTTTCACCTCTTGTGCGAAATCATAGACAGTTTGACTCCTAAACACTGAAAGCAGGCTCATCCCTTCTAGGTCTAATCATATTTTATCTTAGGTTAATTGATTCTTTATATAAGCGTTTAGGAGACAAGGCTGAAGAAAGGTTACATATTCCTGCCCTCATTCAAATTTTATTCACTTTTTGCGCTGTTATTTTGCTTCTGATGTCTTGACATGTTATTCTTGTGACCTTGTAGTCATAAAGTGACTCACTTTTTATCCAGACAGGAGCATGACTGAGATCTAAAAAGCAGGTGACAGGTGTGCAGACATACGTACTGTGGGTTTTCCATCAAGGCAGTGCTAACCTGCCACTGTTAAGTAAACAGACTAAAAATATTTTTATTATTGCACAGCTTTCCATCATCAGATGAAGGTTGTCACATTGTTTTGGCAAAGCTCTTTGTTTGAAAAGCAACTCCCTCTGATAGTGTGACAAAGCTAGAATTCTCGTGAACTCTCGTGAAAATCTAATTTGGCATTGTAAGGTAAGGGAGTATGAACAATTTTATATGGGTCTTAAATCGTGTCAGGGTTGTTGTGTCAAGTTGTTTGTTTCATTCTTTGGGTGTTTTGAAGTATGTCAACAAACAGCGAACTTAGATTATATAACAGAGGATATACCCCTCTGCTTATTCATGGAATT